AAAAATAAATAAATAAATAAATAAATCAATAAATAAATAGCAAGTCAGTATGAGTTTCAGCACAAGACTGCAAACTATCAGCTGACAAACAGCCTGGGGGGTGCACTTCGGCCCAGCTCCTCTGGAGGTTGCGGCAGGAGAAGGCTGCACCCAGGAGCTTGAGAACAGCATGGACAATGCACACAGATGCTGTGTCTCATAAGAAAACACCAGGGCTGGGGCGCAGCTCGGTGCTGGTGCGCACACCTGAGGGCCTCCGTTCGATTCCCCATACTGAACAAGAACCAGAAATACAGAGTGGCTGAAGTGGGAGCTCGGTGACGACCTTGGCCATGAGCACAGGGGCGGGGGCGGACGCTGCTCCTCCACAGGACAGAGGGAAACACCCAGCACTGAGGCGAAGCAGGGTCTGCGAAGGCTGACACGTTCAGGAGGAGGAAGAGGAGGGGGAGGGGGAGGGGGAGGAGGAGGAGAGGCGGCTGCAGAGCCCGCACAGGACGGACCCCTCTGAGACTTTCACCAGATGCTAAGCTGTCATCTTTAGATGCTGAAGTAAAGGACCACCGTAATTCTATAACTAGCTTAAAAGGCCTTCAGAAATGGACTGGAAGCAAACACAGACATTTCTGCACAAGGCAGCAATCCAACTCATCATCTTCACGAAGAATGAAAGCCAACTTTTTGTTGTTTTGCTTCTTTCTGAACAGCGCCTTGGTATTTAGCCGACCTCAGACTCGCAGCAATCCTCCCACCTTGGCCCACCAAGTGCTGAGATGGCAGATGCGTACCACACTTGGCTTAGAATGCAAGTAATGTCAAAGAGAGACCTCCAGTGCAGAAGGAAGGACGACAGGCACAGTAAGTACGTACAGAGAGCACAGAAACACAGGAGGGGCCACTGTAAGCAACAGCAAAACGCGCCTGCAGTCTGTGTTGTGCACCATCAGCACACAGCCCACCACAGCCGGCAGGGAGGCGGTGGTTACAGCCAGGAGCACAAGCCAGAACCCCGGCAGACCTGTAACACAGCCAGGGCACGTGTCGTGGCCCTGCGGGTGACCTGAACACCTAAGTAAAGCAAGCTCCAGCCATGCCGAGTTCACCCGCGAGTGGAACTGAGAACACTCCAACAACTTGCAGGAGCACGTGGCAAGCACAGGACCCCAGCAGAGGCCCCGGGGAAAGTCCTCTGACCACAGAGGGCACCCTCGGAGGCTTGAGGACTGACCAGGCTTCGGGCCACGTTGTGTGTGCAAAGAAGGGAGAGTGAGCTGCTTGGGAAGTAGTGTGGTGCGGGCTGCTAGACACACACTGCAGCTGGGAACAGAGGACAAACCAGGGGCATGCTGGCTCTGGAGCGATGGGGACTAATGCTGGGAGGACTGGGGCGGACGCCGCTCTGAGCTGTCGCCCTGAGAGCAGCCAGGAAAACGCAGGCCGTCACCAGCTACACAGCTAGGTGCAAGTGGGCGGGTGCCACTCCCGGGGCTGCGCTGAGGCCCCCGGCCCAGACAGGACCTGCCGGTGTCCACAGCCACTCCCCAATCTGCACAGCAAGGGAAACAGCAGGTGCTGCCAGTCGGTCAGCAGGAGCACAGCAGCACCACCAGTGACCTCCCTAGCACGCGCACTGCCGGGGACGCCCTGCCCAGGCTTACTTCTGCAGCGCCATTTCCTTCTGCTGATAGAGCTCGTTCAGGATCTCCACCTTCTGCCGCAGCGTCCTGCACTCCTCCTCCAGCCCAGCCTTGGTGGCCTGCAGCACACCACAGTCCTCACCCAGTCTCTTCATCTGGTCTGGGAGGGGAAAGGGCGTGACGAGGCCTGGCAGGGGATGCGGACCCACTCCCTGTGCCTCCGGCGCCGCTCAGCCTGCTCGGCTCACCCCACAGCCACGAGCTCACCTTCCAGGTCACTCTTGGCGGACATCGCGGCCCGCAGCTTCCCCTGTAGAAGTCTGAGATCCTCCTCAAGTACTGAAATCGATGTCTGTGTCTAAAAATATGAGACAGTGAGGGGGCCGTCCCTGTAAGTGAGGCCCCGTCAGGACTCCGGCCCCAGGGAAGGCTGTAAGGGCCCTTACCCGAGAGACATCCAGCATCTGCCTAATCTGATCTTGCATCTCACTCTGGTTACCTACAAAAGAAGCAGCTTCATTTGCTTTTCCTTCTGATCTTTAACTCTATTGTCCTGGCTTCCTGAAAACTAAACTAATGCTCATCAACAATGAAACGAAATACAAATTCACCAATGGAACCGGAACCAATCACACTGACTTTGAAGACAACCACATGCCTTGGTTTAATCAATGAGTCCCCACCACTTCACAGCCCAGCCTTGTGCTCCAAGCAGCCGAAGGCCTGACAGCCATAGGGCAGTGTAGGCCACGAGTAGGGACCCAAGTGTCTTCTTCACAGAGCTAAGAAATAGCTCCTCCCACGCGCAGCGGCCAACACCCAGGCACAAGGCTCCAGTGTCCTCAAGCAGTTCTCCGGGGGCAGAAAAATGGCACTGTCCGTGCGCCTGTTGCTACCCACTCCCGTGACCCTGACACAGCTACACATTATTCAGCTGAGAAGCAGCATCCATGTGGTAAACCAAGACTGCTCAGGAGGCTAAGGCAGGAGGATTCTGTGGGTTTGAGGCCAGCATGGGTTATGACATAGTGAGTTCAAGGCCAGACTGCACTACCCAGACAGACCCTTAAATACTAAGACAAGAAGACAAAAAGGGGGCCATCACCCCAGGATGCGCTTACCTCCCACTTCTCCGTTGGCTAACTCATCTGGCTCATTTCCGCCTGGACTTGGACCCTCAGACCGAGACCTGGACTCTAACTGATTCAACTGCGTGATGCAATTGGACAAAGCCTGAAAGGGCAACAAGAGGCAGCTAGGGGCTTCTCCACCCCAGCAGTGGGTCAGGAACTCGATGCAGGCGTGGCTGGGCCAGGCACACTTACGCCGATGCTGCTGTCCTTATGAGCCAGAGCGGCATCCAGGTCTCTCTGGGACTGCTCAAAGGCTCTGACCTGCTCGCTGAGCTCAGCGTGTGACCTCTTCCACTCTTCAACTTCCTGCTCCAGCTGCAAGCCAGACACACAGATCCATGAGCTGGGGGCCGGCAAGTGGAGGGGGAGGCAGAATTTGCGTCCCTCCTGGTCCTGCCACAAAGGCTGAGGCCTGGTTCCGGAGAGGGGTGTCGCCCCGCTGAGCGCATCCAGCGGGCTGACCCCATGCACGGCACCCTTCTGGAAGCATCTGCTCATTTCACATGCCCTCTGTGCCAGCTCAAGCCACCCCATGGGCTGTCTGTACCACAAGCCCCACCCAGCCGGAGCCTAATGCATTCAAATGAGAGCTTCCAACAGTGAGACACAAGATTTCAGGCCCCGCTGGAGCGTGCTAACTCAGATCCCGATGGTCCAACTTTCCTATGGCCATTGAGGCAGGAAGTGTTCGAAGGACACTTATCAAAGCCTTAGATCTGAGGCTTGAGGCCACTCAAGTAATGACTGGTGTCCGAGAGCCACCATCGATGCAGAGAACCGAAATCCAGGTGTAAGGGAGAACGTGCCCAGGTCCTCAGTAATGGGGAGCACAGCGCAGGGCCTCCCACCTTGGAGCAGGGCCAGTGTGAACATCGCCTCCCCAGCACGGGCACGGCAGCTCTGGGCTGAAGGCGCTTACTGTCGCAGCTCGCATCCCCTCCAACCAGACATTCACCTGCGCTTTCCTCTTCTTCAGCCTCGCATTTTCTTCTTGGACCTGGTGGCACTCGAACTTCACCTGCTCTTCACTCAGCTTGGCTTCATTCAGGGCAACCTGAACCTAAGGCAGAAGGCTCCCGTCACGAGCCGGGAGGAGCCCCGACGGCATGGCCGTGGCTGTGCGCGTCATAGCACAGGTCCTCCACAGAGCTGTCGCGCGCAGGGGTGTGAGGCAGGGAGCCTTACCTCCGAAAACTCTGAGGCATTCATTGAAATAACATCCTTCAGCTTCTCCATAGATTTTTTGTTTTCTAGAATCTGCGTGGGAAGGAAGAACATGCAATACGCATTAGGATTTGGTGGAGAAACATCAGTATGTGTGTTAAAAAGAAGAAATATTTCCGAAACATACCCCCAAATCATCCATTACAGCTTAGGTAAAATCAGAGGGCCCAACTTGGCTTGGGGAAAAAAAATCAAGAACTCAGAGCCGAGGGAAAGAACTGCAGCCAAGCGCTTCAGCGCAGCCACAGCCTTCACGGCGACCACACAGCATGGACGAGGAAATGCTGACGTGACCCAGGTACGACGAGCAGCTTTGTCTGGGGTTAGCAAAACCAGAAAGCCCAAGGCCACTGACACATTCGCACCTGAATTAGCAATGCTACTGTTGGGCTGGGAAGATGGCTCAGTGGAATAAGCGCTTCCCTGGCAAGCGCAAGGGCCTGAGTTCAATCCCCAGTTCCACAGAAAGAAAGAAAGAAAGAAAGAAAGAAAGAAAGAAAGAAAGAAAGAAAGAAAGAAAGAAAGGCTAGAGTTGGGCTGGTAAGATAGCCTCAGCAGCTTAAAGCACCTGCTTAGGCAAGCACACAGGGACCACCCCCAGCGTGGGCTCACCGGGCCAGAAGACAGACAGACTGACTGACTGACTAGTGCACCAGGCGTGTGGTGCACACCTATAACCCCAGCATTCGGGAGGCTGAGGAAGAAGAGCCCAAGGCCAGCCTGCACAGCATAGTGAAATCCTGTCTCAAAAAGACAGAAAGAAACAAAAAAACACAAGGAGCTTGAGGGTGACAAATTGAATGTGCAGAATTTCACAATATTTATGACAATATGGCACCTCCAGGAATAATCCTACTCCTTGCTCTTTAACTTTAGGTTGTGTTGTAACTTCCTCCCAAAGAGTACAGTGTGCACAGGACCGAAAATGGGCAACGGACCAGCTTTGTGCTCCGCACGGGACTGAGCCACCTGTTACGGGCAGGAACTCGGGGAGCCCTCCTCATTAGGCTTACTACTTCTGCAGAATTCTACAATGATTCAAAAGGCAGAGTTTGCTGAAAAAAGCAATTCTGTAAAATAAAACCAATGTACACACACTATTGAGCTGGACCAGTGGTTCAGCTCTCAGTGGTTCCGTGGTTTTGAAAGACAGACAAGCAGTGTGAAAATTATCCAGGTCATACAGCCCCGAAACCAGGTGTGGTGTTGCATGCCTGTAATTTCAGTGCTGAGACAGGATCACTATGAGTCCGAGCTGCGTAGTGAGACCCTGTACCAAATACATAAATTAAAAAAAAAAAAAAAATCACTTCACAGCCTATAGAAATGGCTCACTGGATTAGTGCTGAAAATCCCATATTGGGCACAAGCACACTCAGCTCTGTTATTCCTAATCTTAGTTAACAGCATGGGAACAGCTCAACTAAGTTACAAGATCCTTCAAAGATCCAGTTCCAGTGACACACAGCGGCAGAGCTTACCAAGTCCTGATTTCTCACATTCTGTTCCCTCTCGGATTCTAACATAACACGGAGAGTCTTAGCTGTGTCACTCAGAATTTCATTATTTTCTTCAAGTACTTTGATTTTATCCTACAAGAAAAGATATCAAGCAATACTCATTACACTTGCTTTTGCTTGTAAAATGTAATCCCCAAAAGAGAAGGTTTTACCTTGTACTGCACTGCTTCACTAGAGAGAATCATATTTTGTTTCTTGGTCTCCTGAACGAGCTTCTTTGACTCCTTGATCTGTGTAAAACAGAGCACTCAGAACTAGGGACTGCAGCTGGGGGTACAGCCTCGCAGCGCATGGAGAGCCTGCACGCCAAAGGTCCTAAGGCTGACTCGCGGAACAAAGCAACCAACCAACCAAAAACCGCAGGAGGCTGAGGCACAATTGCTGGGGATCTGGAAACAGCCTGGGCTACGAGTGAGCTCAAGGCCAGCCTGAACTGCACAGCGAGATCCTGTCTCAGAAACACCAAAGAATAAAAAAGTTCTGGAGGGCTCAGCGGAAACAATGAAGCAAGAAAGTACAACTTCAAGATGCCGGAAGCGGGCACGGGGTGCACGGTGCACGCCTGCATCCCAGCACTCAGGAGTCTGAGGCAGGTCAGCCCGGGCTACAAAGGAAGTTCAAGGCCAGCCTGAACTGCACAGTAAAACCCTATCGCAAAAAGACAAAACAAACAAAAAGCCGTAATAACTGAGCTATCCCACAGACAGAAATAAACTGGAAGGAAGAGGGGGCACAAAACAGTAATTATACCTTCTGCTCATAATTTGATAATTTTTGTACAAGTTCTGCATTTTCTTTCGTGGTATTCTTCACCTTTTCGGAAATCTGCTGTTCAGTGACTAAAAAGAGGAAAAAGCCAGAAGATTATTAAGAGAAGTCAATGAAACTGGGCTGCTCAGCGTGTCAGCAGCCAAGACACGCTGTGAGGCACGCTGAGAAACCGAACCCGGCACAAGGGTCCTGCCCTGACAGAGAGCTGCAGCTAACAGCAGCAGGGAGCCCAAACGTTACAATTTGAGCAAAAAACACTAACACTTGTTTCAAGGAGATCAAAATTTTATTTCCAAGGTAGGAAATACAGTGAAATGTTACACAACTTGATAGTTTCCCTTCCTGGAGAATGGAATCACTTCCAATGTACGTCATTTGCAAAGAGAAACGGAAAACACAGGCGAGCTGGTCTACACGGCTGCCTCTCCAGCTCCCGGAGGCGCCAGGCACCGGGCAATGTCCGCCACCCACGCCTGTGCCTCCCAGCAACGCTCAGCCCGACAAGGCCAGCGAGCCCCTCCCCCGCCCCATCTCCTATCTAGCTCGTGCCACCACCGCCCTTGTACACGGAGCAGCAACCTAGCCAGTGACACCTGGACCAGCTGGAAGACAGCCACACCAAAGTCCCCATCTCTCCTCCTAGCCTACCTAGAGCCTCCTACCAAACGCCAACAGGGAGAGAATGCAAGTAATAAGAGAAGCCTGAAAGTTTACCTTGGTATATTCTCTCCTTCACCTACAAGAGAAAGACAATAAAACTTGACATCAAACATTTGATAAATAAAAATATACAGTTGCTAATACAACAGTTAGGGTCATAATCAAATAAAAATTTAATAACTGGTTCAGGACAAATCTATACAATTGAAAAACAGGGAAAGATTAAAAAGAATTTGGCATTGGTAGAGATAAATTATAAACAGCCTCTGACACCAGGAACATTAAGGTGTGTGTCTTGCTTCACAGCTACACAGACGCTTGTCTGGTGGAATCAGGCGAGCACCGACCTTACTGGACGAGCATTTGCCTTTAACAACGAAATGTTACTGATTTCTTTACTCAAAATTACCTACCTGACAGCCCCCAACAGCAGGCACACAGCCTAGAAACAAAGACTGCACGGACGACCGAGGAGGCAAGATTACTGGTGCGGCCTTTGTCCTAAGATATGCCTCTGTCACTCTCTGGAAGACACCTCAGAAACCCTATTTCAAGGGTTTACTGACTCTATTTAGAAATAATTGAACAAATACCATCATTCCATCTCCCCAGACTGCAGACACAGAAAATCTGAGCAGAAGGGAGGACACCAGAAGAACACAGGACTGACAGCTGCCAACTTCAGGAAGGGCACAGAATGAGTTCTCCACAGGGACTGCTAGGGCAATAAAATCTAAACCGTAACTAATTAAATACTGCAGCAGCATATAAACTGCTCTGTAACCCAGACTGTGTTTTCTCCTTCTGAGTGTTAGAACAGCGAGGGAACCCTAGGCCGGCCCACAGGTTGGCCCCGGGGCCACCACACCATTAGCCACAGCAAAGCCCAGCAGCAGGCTGAGGTGGGCACCAACGTCCCTTCCAAGCAAGCGAGCTAGTGGCAGGGCAGTGCGGGGAAATGAACTTGGGCACAGGCAGCATGCGGGGACTGCTTTGGGGGGCGGGGAGGGGAGCACATTCTCACCCCCCGCACTTCCGCTCACTCTTGTAGGCCTTTTCCTTTAGCAAAAAATTTAGTGAGGTCAGAGAAGTCCACAGGACTCTAGACAAAGGACTCTTAAGAGGCACTGCTTTGGCTTTTGGGTGGCTTTTGGTGGTACTGGGGATTGAGCCCAGGGCTTCACAGTGAACTACATTCTCCGCCTTCCCATTATTTGTGAGGGAGGCTCTTGCGAAGTCACCAAGTTGCATGGGATGGGCTCCAACTTGCAATCCTCCTGCGGCAGCCTCCCTCACCTCTGCGGCTGCAGGTATGCGCACACCACTGTGTGACCTAACCCAGGCGTTGTGCGGTGTTACCGTTTTCCTCCACAGCACCTGTGCCTGCATAAGTGTTTCTACAACACAGTTTATCAACGCCTCACAGTGTGTTTCCAATTCACTTTCAGCTGTGAGCGCATTCTTTGCCCCACTGCCTTTGACATACAATACTCCATTCTGTGGATATAAGCAGCACGGAACAGGAAATCCTCTAGTATGGATTATTTAGGTTGTGCCAAGTTTTTACTCTGTTACACACCATTCCTTCAAACAAAATCCTTAGCACATAATTTATTTCTACAGGGCAGATTACTGACATTATATCACATAAAAGGGATTTATACCAAGGAAGAGGAATCCCTCAGTAGCGAGTTCATATCAGATGACACTACCCAAGCCTCTACCCGCAGGTCAAAATCACAGGACAGTATCAAATCAAGTGACATTAGGAACGAAAATCCCTTCAGAAGCAAATGGGTACTACTGAGGTCTCACCTAGCAATGAAGATTCCACCATTCTGGGCCTAGTTATAGTGGAAGACATCAGTAAACTGTGTGGCATGGTTTTAAAAGGGGGAGCTAGGGGCCAGGGAGATGGCTCAGTAGAATAAGCACTCCCCTGGCAAGCACAAGGGTCTGAGCTCAATCCCCGGTTCCGCGGAAAAAAAAAAAAAAAGAATCACCAACTCCAGTAACAGTGGATGTGGTTACCTTGCTCTCTTAGGACTTCACCAACACAAAGATTACACTAAATTACTGCAGAAAATTAGCTTGAATTACAAGCGCTGAGTCCTGAGTTCAATCCCTGGCACCGCAAAAACAAAAGGACAAAAAAAAAAAAAAAAAAAAACCCCACAAAACTGTTAATTTCTATTTAATACCTGAAAAAACAAAGGGTCAATGATTGTAAAATGATCATAAGTCAAATTATAAGTTAATTCACTCACAGCAAGAACGGTTCTCCAGAAGAAAATGGCAAATGAAACAATTCCCAAACAGGCAGTAAGCACCACAGGCTTCCAGGGCAGCCCGTAGAAGTCAGGCCCAGGCTGAACATCCTCAGGCAACGTAGCAACCAGCTGAAGGAAGGAAGGAATAAAGCGAAATTTAACGGAACTGAAAAAGCAACTGCAAACGGTGACCACAGATACCATCAACCAGCAGCCAACTATCCTGAAGGAGAGTCCTGGCAGCCTCACGCTCTTGTTTGGCCCGTGGAGTCTTGAGCCGGTATTTCCAGCTGGCAACAGGCCCCCTCCACATCACGCTGTCCAACACATGGCTAGAATCTCTCCGCATCATGCTCAGGTAAGTTGGGTTTTATTACTTAAAACAACAAAACAAAACCCCACAGCACAAAGAGGGAATTCAAGTACAGGTAGCAGCAACAGACTTGTATGGCTGCAAAGCCGCTGTGACAGGAACACAAACCACGCACTACTCCTCCAGGACGCTGTCCAGTTCCCTCCCTCCTACGGACGGGGCAAGCGAGGCCGAGCGCAGGTGGCCAGCGCAGGTGGCCAGCGCAGGTGGCCAGCGCAGGTGGCCAGCGCAGCGCGCACAGCGACTCCCGGGCGCTGCCGCCGCTCAGGGCAGCCCCGACCCCGCGTCGTCCACGCCGCGCACCGGCCCGGCCAGCTCCCGCAGGCGGGACCCCGCGCCCCTCGCCCGATCACCCCATCAGCCCGGCGCCCCGGCAGTCACCTCCAGGAGCCGGGCCACGAGGGCCGCGTACAGCACCGACAGGGGCCCCAGAAGCTCGGGGTCGCCCGGGGACACGGTGACCGCGGGCACAGTGGCCGGCACAGCGTCCATGGCGCAGGACAGCCCCTGCGGACCCGGCCGACAGGCAGCCAGGCCCCGCTTCGGCGAGGCGTCCTTCCTGGAGGCGGCAGGGGGCGGGACTGCACAGCTGCACCTTCCGCTCCGCTCGGCGCGCCGAGCCGTAAACACACGTCACGGACGGTCTCCACGGAGAGGCCGCCGCGCGCCTGCGCGGAGGGGGCGTGGCTAGCCCTTGGCGCGGCGGGGGCGTGGCACTAACGACCAATGAGAGAGCGCGGGGTGGAGTCCCCCGGCCACGCAACGACGCCCCGCAGGCAGCCCCGCTAGAGCGCAGCCGGCGCCGCCCGTGCGCGAGCGGCTACGTGGCTTCGGGACTGGCCGGCACCTTCACCCCGGCGGGGCGGGGCTACTTGTACAGGTTTGGGGCGCAGCGCTCCCTGCGGACGGTCGGGCAGTGGGGCGCGGCGGGCGGCAGCGGAAGGGCGAGGGGCTCCCGCGTTAGTCACCGCCTGAGCTCGAAAGGAACAGACCCCTGGGCGTAGCTTATGTCTCAAAAATCAGGCGGCAAAAGGGAAAAGACTAAATCTGATTACTTAAAAATAGCACGAAAGGAAAGAAAACATGGAAACAAATTTTGTAATGGGGAAGGGAGGAGGGGTTGAAAAGGGAGGGTAGTGGAAAAGGGAAAAATCCAAGACCAAGTTATACCGTGTATGAGTACAGATTCTCTATGATGAATGTGATCGTCATGTATATCTGAAATGTACCCAAAAACACTAAGTGAAAAAAATAACAAAAAACAAAAAAATTCGTCCAGCCCTACCTACAAACACAAAACACAGATGGAGAGCAAGCTCCTAAGTCTCAGGAGGAGCCGCACAAGTAGCAGTGCCGCCGGGGGCGTGCGCTGCTTGGCTGCTAGCTACGCAAACTGGCCCTGGGAGTGGGGCTCCAGGCCCCGAAGAGCGCGCACCTCCGAGCAGATGCTGGGAAGGCCGAGGCGCTCTCCTTCCCTGCAGGGTGGGGGACGCAGCCAGCACCTGAAACCGCCTAGGATTTCCCTGTGGACTGAGTCCACGTTCTCTGGAGGAGCAAGTGTCCTACCACTGAACCACACCCCCAGCAATCCCACTTCTAACAGTATACCTCAAAGACAGGATAGGAAAACAAATGTTGGCGAGATACATTCAGAAAACTTTCTAATTCCACAATTCTTTGAATCAACAAGACTGGAGACAAAATGTCCACCAATAAAACAGCTGTTGAATAGATTAAGTATACTATGAAAATAAATATATATACTTACATATATATATATATATATATATATTACACATATTTGCTATTCCTGGTGGCTTTTATTTAGATCTCACCAGACTCCATATAGACTCATGTTGTCTGAAAATAAAGATTTAATTTTACTTCTTCCCAATCTGGGTGCATTTCTTTTTTTCTTGCCGCAGTACACTGGCCACTGCCTCAATGCACCCCAGGACTGTGAACAACTGAGACTAGAGTAGATACCCTTGTTTGATTTCAGGTCTCCGGGAAAAGTACCCAATCACTCACCACTAAGCATGAGGTTAGCTGTAAGCTGTCATGGAGGCCCGTTTAGCTCTCTCCTATTCTTGGTTTGTTGACAATTTTGTTTGGGGGTAGTGGGGACTGAGCCCAGGGCCTCACACATGCTAGGCAAGCCCTCCAGCACTGGGCTGGATCCCTAGTCTTTCTTTTTTTTTTAAATTTTGAAACAGCACCTAGGCTGGCCTTGAATTCATAATCCTCCTGCTTCAGCCTCCCCAGCTTCTTGAGTAGCTAAGATTACTGGCATGTATCACCATGCCTGGCAAAAATGTGGGTTTTTTAAAAGAATAAATGTTGGGATTTTTAAATGCTTTTTTTGGGGTGTCTGTTCAACACATGATTATGTCTTTAAAGTTTACCAACATGGTGTTACACTGATTGATTAATATACTTATTTGGTTATGTGTCTCCTTCTGATATATGATTGGATTTAGCTTGTTGAAGTTTCACAGAAAACTTTTGTAACTATAAGACCTTTTGAGAGGTGTATGGTTTTCCTGCTACGCCTTTGTCTTGTCTTGATGTCACAGCAAAACTGGACCCATTTGACTTGAGAAGTGATTTCTCAATTTTCCACACGGGTTTGTACAGAAATAGTTTTCTTTCTTACAGGCTTGGTAGACATCACCAGTGAAATTGCTGCAGCCTGGAGTTTTTGCTGCAGAAAGATTTTTGACTGTACCTTCACATCCTTAACCAGTCACAGTGACTATTTCTTTTGGAGTGAACTCTGCTGCAGTGGACTCAGATGGCACCTTTCCACTCGTTCACGTGGCTGCCTTCATGGACCCAGGTAGCTCTGGCAGTCCACGGAGTCGGAGCGCTGTCCCTCTCTGACTGCTGAGTTGGTAATCTGTGGCTCTTTCTTCCTGGCCACTACTGCAAGAAGTTCATCCACTTTATTAACTTCAAGAACCAGTTTGAGGGGCCAGCAAAATAGCTCAGTGGACTAAGCACCTCTTAAGCAAGCGCAGGGACCAGGTTCAATCCCTGGCACCACATGCTGCGCTGGTCCTGCCCGGGCCACAGAGACCAGGCGTGGTGGTGCAAGCCTGTAATCCCAGCACTGGGAAGGCTGAAAACAGAAAGATCACTACGAGTCTGAGCTGTGTAGTGAGACTGTACCGAATACGTTAAAAAAAAAAAAAAAAGAACCAGCTTGAGTGTTGCTATTTTCTCTACCCACTGATATATGCTGTTACCTTTATTATTCCTCAGCCTTCTCAGAGATGTAGTTTTCCTGCCCTTCGCAGTCCCTTAGTTTCCTTTTTCCTAGCAGAGGCGGTGCCCCCATTTCCTGTTCCCTACCGGCCTGATGGAGGCTGTGACTTTGGGTGGTTTGTCACCTCCGGACACTCAGGACAGTTTTCTCCCCAGGGAGAGCTGTCTCAGCACGACCTGTGATCCCAGTCACTGGACCCTGGAATCTCTGCCCGTGCCGGCCTGCAGCTCTCGCGACAGTCCGCTGAGGTCGCTGGGGTGGCTGGCGTTTGCACCTGATGTTCTAGAGTTTTCTGGAGCTACTTACTCTCATTTCATGCTTGATATCCAATGTCTTGAAGAAAAAAAATCTTTTATTCTGTCTGCTTTTTCATTTCGTTTTGTTTTTGGTGATGATGGTAAAGCCGTTGGCTGCCGGCCGGGGCCTGGTGCTTGGCGCAGGCACACCAGCACGCAGCCATGCCCCAGCCTCCTCCGCTTTTGTTTTGATGTAGGACGGTGAAAAAGTTAGCTGCAAAGGTCACAGAGGAGGAGGAGCCGAAGAGCGGGCAGGAGAATGAAGGAAAAAGCATCGAGTTGTATCACTTACAGGTACAAATTCTCTATGATGAATGTGATCATTGTAGATACTTAAAATATGCCAAAAAAAAAAATCATTAAAGAAAAGTTACAAAGAAGGGCACCGTCACTCTGGATGGAACCAAGGCAGAAGCTAGAGCTCTCAATAGACGCTATTTTGCAGTTTAGGTCACATAGGTATGTCGAGCAATCAGAGGATTAAGAATCTTAGGAAGCAGTGCCTACATATTGAAAGGAAAATGGAAACAGCCTAGCCGTATTTCAAGGTGGTGGCAAAACCGCAAACACAAACGGTCTCCAGTACTCCAGTATGCCTTATGGGATACAACTGAAAGACAAGAGAACCCAGAAAACCCTTAAAGCCTTCAAGAGCATGCCACTGGTGGTGGCAGAGTTCACGTCCTATCTCTAACGCTGCTGGATGACTACATCACAAAATAAGGTCCATATGGTCAGCGCGTCCCTTGATAGGAAGTGCACCTGGGACGACTGCGGCCCTGGCGCACAGAGCTTAACGGGGCCACCGCTCCCTGGCCACGCACTGGCCCACTGTGGCATCGCTGCCTGCCTCAGTGACCATGGAAGCACAGTGCACAGCGGTATGTCCACACTCAGGCAACGATGCAGCCAATTTTTATTTATTTATTTATATTTTGTACCACGATTGAACTCAGGCTCTTGTACTTGCCAGGCAGGCACTTAAGCCACTGAGCTATCTCCCCAGCCTGATGCAGTCAAAATTCAAAGCAATGGTTTCTCAGCTTCCTCGGGGACATCACCATTGTGGATATGTCCAAAGTGTCACCGAGAGGTGTGAACTATGGTGGAGAACCACCTGGGTGACTGTCTGAAAAAGGAGCAATTGTCTCCATTTAGGCCGAGCCTGACCCAGTTTCCATGTATTGATACGTACAGAACTTTTCTTGGGATTCTTAATATAAACTTCCTGTGACAGGGACCAGGAAGGCTCTTTGGGGCTGGGGAGGTAGCTCAGTAGAATAAGTACTTCCCTGGCAAGCGCAAGGGTCTGAGTTCAATCCCCGGTTCTGCAAAAAAAAAAAAAAAAAAAAAAAAAAGGAAGTGCTCTCTCTGTCAGGAGCCACTGACGCTAGAAACTCATCGTGCATGGGAGGGCAGGGTGAGGCCTCATGGGCTAAAGCAGCCGAGCTACCTCAGTCTTTTTAGTACAGGGTCTACAGGGTCTCATTACACAGATTGGACTCATAGTGATCCTCCTGTTTTCCGCTTCCCAGACACTGGGACTATAGTCACACGCCACCATGCCCAGTCTCAACCCACGATCCAAGCACACCGTGGGCTAGGACCGGCATGGTGGCATGCTGGGGAGTGAACCCCCGGCCCCTGCATCTGACGCTACCGCAGTCTTGAGAAAGACATCCTGCCTGGACATTGTGGGCTATTAGTCACTAGGCAACCTTGTGTCTTGTAATTTTGCAAAGGTATAAATAAACACCCCTAAAAAACATTTTAAAAAATCCCTGCTGTTGTCTGGGGTCCTGTGCCCATCAGGCATAGTCCACTACCTGATCTCAGCTATTATCTCTCTTTATTTTCTAAATCCTCTCACCACTTCCTCCTGGGGTTGGTCAAAAGACCAAGTCCTTACATTCTATATTAACTAGTTACAGTGATATCACTGGATGCTGGTGTCGACAAGGGGTTAAGGCTGTGTCCACAGGTGGAGCTTTTTTGGAGCGGTTAGGACTACAGCGTGTGGCACTGTGACTGACTCATGGCAGAGCACCAGGCTCAAGAGCACCAGGACAAGGCTTTGAGTGCTGCCCGCCCTAAGTAACCAGGACGAGATCGAGAAAGATCTGTGTCTGGCCCTCGTCACTTTGCTGCCTTCTACCTGCCGGGCGCTGTTTCTCCTCTGTGATGCCAGGCTGCTCAAAATCAGCCTTCGATCTCAGAACTCAGGACGTGGGCTCAGTACTCACTTCTTCCTGTCCAGGCGGCACACGCCTGTTAGCATCTGGGAGGCTGAGGCAGGAGGACTGCTGAGTTTGAGGGCATCCTGGACTACCTGAGTGAGTTCAAGGTCAGCCTGAACTACTACTATCTCCAATCAGTGAATCAACCAATCCCACTTCCCACTGAAAAGAGCCAGGACTCCTTTGAGAAATACTTCCTCCAAGATCTGGGCTGGACATACACAGTACAACAGAGAAACTGAAGAATGTCAGACAGCACTGCCAGGCGCGATTGCAAACACCAGTGACCTTAGCGCTTGGAGGCTGAGGCAGGATGGTCGTTTTGAGTTTGGAGCCAGCCTAAGCTACAAAGTGAGCTCAAAGTAGACTGAAGTACACAGCAAGATCCTAAAAGAAAAGCAGGCAGGAGGAGAAATCGAGCATTTGAAGAGTAACTGCCTCTTTCTTTTCTTCAGTGCTAGCGATGGAGCCAGGACCTTGCGCACGCTGGGCATGTGATCTCCCCGCAGCCGCTTGCCCAGGCCTCGGCTGTTACTAAGGACCCGACTGAAACATACTGTTTCTAAATTGACAACATTGAAATGGTTCTTAGATAAGAGAAAAAAACTTTAAAAGCCTCTTTGGGCATTGCTGGAAAAGGCAGGAAGACAACTCATTATTTTAAAAACTGCTTAAATGAAGAATCACATACCTACCCCGCCACACTATACAAGCCACATCCTGATGTTCAGGAAAGCTGACCCTCAGGTGACCCGTCACCAGTGCACTACCTGTGCGCTATCGGCAGGCTTTGTCAATGCCACCAGTGACCGATGATACCAGAAACAAGAGGGACACACGGCATCAAGTGTCTAAACACCTCCTGGTGGGTGTACACAGCATTCCCTACTGAGCCAAAGCGAGCTACATCTGCTGCAGCTCTGACCACCGAAGGCTGGAGGACCGCAAAGAACCAGACACGAGCTGGGCTACGGCTCGGCGGCTGAGCACTTGCCCAGACTCTGTGAGGCCCCTGGGTTCTTCCCCAGCACGAAAGACAAGAAGGGAGGGAGAAGAAGAGCAAGGAAGAAGGGAGGGGGGAATTCAAGCAAGAGAAAAGCAAGAAGTTGAAAAAGGGAAAAACATTAAGTTATACAGGGGAGCTGTCACTAACAAAATTTGGACCACACTGCCACACTGCCCTAGTAGCCATACACAGTCACTGAAGACACAACAATAACAGGTGGAACCCACAGGCACAGTAATGCAAAGGGACAGAAGGGGACAGAATACACAGCAGGATGTCCTGCTAGAGCACAGCAGCCAGTTCACAGCAGTGTCCCCGGGCAGCGGCCAACCAGAGGCCACCTCCTCGCCAGCTGACCACGAGTCCAGCAATCTTACCAAGCCCTCAGCGGTACCTGTGTGGGGCAAGACACCGTGAGTGAAGCCAGCCACGGGAACAGAGCACCTGCCCTTTGGCTGCTTCCCAACTGGGGGGTGACCATATTCCAGCCAGCCGAGGGGACACAGGCAAGGCACGGCCCACAGGAGCCTGTAGAGGTACACCTTGTCACTAACCATCAGAAAATAGCAGTTCCCAAAGGGAGGTACTTGTGCACCAAACGTCTAGGGTGGTAGCACCCCGTGCTGGTGAGAGGTGGCTGGCAGAGGCCTGCGGCTGCTGGTCACCTCCACAGGTGGCCCACTGTCTTTCTCTTCAGTGGGAGCCCTGTCATGGGGTCACACAGCTGACAGGCCGGGAGACTAGCCAATCACTGAAAAGCAGCTCCCTGGTGGTTGCCTGGAGCCAGCTGGGGGCTGGTATGGGAAAGCTCCGGCTGGAAGCTGTGAATGAAGGCATGCTCTCCGCCTGGTCGCTGTGGGTCCCACCCGGCCGCGCACATCTGCCAACGTCACAGCTGTGCTACTAAGGGCATGTCACCTACACGTGACAGCTGCCGACTCTTGACATGCACTCCCACAACGTCCACACCTCAACCAGAGCCTGATCTGAACATGTTTAAAAGCAGGGGAGGGGATTTCAGATGTGCCACATATTGGATGGTAAGGGTGTTAAGCTCAGTGCCAGTCCCCTGGGCTCACCGTGCTACTTGCTCTGCTTTTCTGAAGGCTTTTCTTTCTTTTTTTTTAGACATTTATTTATTTATTTATTTATTGTGTGTGTGTGTGTGTGTGTGTGTGTGTGCATGTGGCCAGCTCAGCCCACCAGGGGGCGGGGCTGGCTGGCATGTGGTGCTGGGGATTGAACCGCAGTCCCTGTGCTTTGCTGAGCTTGTTCCAAGTAGGTGCTTTAGACCACTGAGCCATCTCGCCAGCCCTTCTGAAGGTTTTTCAAGAATTAAACTTATTTTTAACTAGTACATGAAAACGTAACAACTGTACATATTGTAGGGGTAGGCAACTTGCTGTTTCACTACAGGTACACATTGCTTACTGTTTAAATCAGATTAAATATCTGTCTTTATCATTTCTGAATAGTAAAACTTGGAAAATTCTTGTATTTTGGAATTTACACTACATTATTGTTGTCTACAGTCCTACTTATTCTCCTTGCTTGTGCTTATTTGAAGCTTTCTATGATAAAATACTGAAAAAACTTGCTTCAAAATTAAGGCACAGTTTCAAATATTTAAAGGACTACTCCGTAGAGGAGGTACCAGGCCCTCCCAGAGCCTGTGCGGAGGGCAGTTTGGGTCAGCGCAGCGGGAATCAGGGGTGGGGTGGGCTGCTGGTGGGCACCCGGGAGACGGGTCACCTCGCCCAGGTCTCCTCTAACCTCGTGGTTTCCGCCTGGCAGCCAGGGCTCTGCAGCGCGGCCTCACGCCTGGGAATTGCGCTCTGCACCCCAGAAGCCTCATTCCTGGCGGAAGGTCCAGGGCGGCACCAGTCCGACAACACCCTCCAGTTGGCACCTTGTGATGTCGCACCCCTTCCTCCCTCCCCAGCACCCCTAAACCCTGCGCTGCATCTGCACCACAACCGTCGCACCTAGCCTGGAAGTGTTCGCCGGAGGTCCAGAAATGGGAACGAGGAGGGGGGTGAAACACAGACACCACCAGCGGCGCGTCCATCAGTCGCGGGTTCAGCCTGTCTGTCTGCCTGCCAGGGCCTCGGAACAGCCCATGTCCGCCGCCCGGGAGGGGCCCAGGGCCCACCCACCGCGGCAGCGTGGCAGCGCCCGCACCCCACCCCTGACCCCCAGGTGCCAGCTCCTCCCTGCCCCGGCCACCCCAGCACCGGGGCCCTCCTTCCCCTGCCCGCATGGCAGCAGCAGGAAGCTGGCCCTCGGCTGCACCGGGTCTCGGCCTGCTCTGCCCCCGGCCCCGGGGCCACAACCACAGCTATGGCAGCCACTGCACAAGGCCCACTGCAGGGCCCGCGCTCGGCTCCGTGACCACTGTGAAGAGCCCAGGGCTGCTTTCACGAGCCCAGCTCAGGCTGCTCTCAGCTGCACTTACCGTCCTGCTGAGCTGCGGCAGGACCGAGCGCAGTGCCAGCACCAAGCTTCCCAGGGGGCTCAGCTCCTCCAGGCTGCGCTCCGCGCGGTCCTCTGTGCCCCCAGGCTCGGCTCCAGCACCTTCTGGCCTAACCACCCCTAAAACGCAGAAGCAAGCCGATTTTAGGTAATGAGAAGAGCTGTGTCTGTTAAGTTCAAACATCCACTGAGTGCCCAGTGTCAGTCACTGTTCTGGAAAGTGCTGTTTCCCTGCCCGGCATCATGGCCCAGGAGGCTGAGGCAGGACTGCGATGAGATCAAGGCCAGCCTGGGATGCATAACTGAGTTCAAGACCAGCCTGACTGTATAGGAAGACCTCGTCTTAAAAGGAAAGAAAAGAGTTCTTAAAACAAAACAAAATGGTTTCCCTGAAGACAGTTACAGGGAAAAGAGTTCCAGACTGTCAGTCGGAGCTGCCTGGCCGACCCCCACTCCCAGGGCCTCATCTCCAAAGCACTGGGTCTTTGGCAACTCACACAGGCCACCTGGCCAAGAATAATTGATCGCGGCCTCTCCTAGCTGTGCTGCACCCTCCCAACTCTATTCTCGGGAGCCTCGGCTTTCCCTCTGGCGCCTCTGAAGTCCTCTCCCTCAGTCTCCGGCCTTCTGCAGCTCAGTCCCTGAAGGTGTTGTGTTGCCACTCCTGCTGGTGGTGATCAGCAAGCTTTACCTGGGGCTCCGTCCTCCCACGGACCAGGGCTCTGAGCTGCTTCAGAGGCACCTGCATTCCCGCTCCCGAGTTGGCTCCAGGGGCCAAGCTCTTCGGGGAGCTGCGAGCTGGGATCATCCTCCGTCTCCTGTGGGAAGGGATCATCTGGGGGCAGCGCTGTCACTGTGGGAGAAGAGCTGCTCAGGGCCAGCCCATGCCACACCCTAGGACCCTTCCCACACCCCTCCCTGCCTGTCATGCAAAGCATGCCTGGCGGAAGGAGTTCTGGCCCTCCCTGGCCCACAGAACACCCGTGAGCCAGCTGCACTCCCAAGCCTCCAGGCGCCTTTGCCCCTGCGTGTTTCCTGGGCAGCCACGTGGGCTGCAGCCTAGACCCCACGGACCTGACAGGCGCAGACGCACAGAGGTGCGGAGGGGGTCCTGGGCGGGGCAGAAACACACACACTCCATCCCACCTGGGAGGGACATAGGCTCTTGGGCACAGCCCCGGCCTTGAGGAGCAGCCCTAGAGGAAGGCAGCTCCGAGCAGCACGCTAAAGAGAAGGGAGCAAACCTCCAGTGCTCCTCAGCCAGTGTGACCCTCTAGAAAGAGATTTCTTTCCAACCTTCTATTTCATTTGGGTTTTGCACTCTTATCCAAAATATACCCACACTCTTTTTCTTTTTTTTTTTTTTTTTTTTGAGACAGGGTCTCGCTATGTAGCCCAGGCTGGCCTCAAATTCACAGTGCTCCTGCCTCAGCCTCCTGCATGCTGGAGCTACAGGTGTGCAACACTATACCCAGCCAAAATATATCCACTTTGATGAAGGGCAAAAATGTTTTCTCTCCCTAGTTGTCAGGAAAATTTAGCTCACTGAGAACACAGATTTTCGTGTGGCTGCCTGTCTTCCTTTCGTCCACCACATGCCTTGGACTCACACACCTGAGATGGAAAAGCAGTGGTGGCAGAACAGAACCGGGACTGGGGACATGGATCTACATCCTGGCTGGGGGCAATGCTGGCCATCTGGCTTCCAGGTGCTGGGCAGCAAGCACTGACAGGAGGCCACATCCTAGGTCTGCCTGTGCAGATTCTTGTTTGCTTCTGGTGCTGGGGCTGGAACTCAGTGCTGGCAGGCTACCCACCTTTGACATAGGCAAAGGGAGGAGCCCCAGGGTTCAGTGGGGGGTCACTGGAACAAGCAACCACCCCCCAGAGGCAGGAAAGATCATGACACTACAGAAGGGGGGGGTGGGACACTGGCCAAGGTACGACGGGAAAGCCATGCTGGTCCCTGCTGGTTAGAGAAGTTATCTTAAGATTAAGAAGTTGTGGGCTGCCTAGATAGCTCAGCAGACTAAGCATCTGCTTAGGCAAGAGCAGGGACTGGGGTTCGATCCCTGGCACCACATGATGCATTGGTCCCACCCCCAGGCATGCTGAGCCACCAAGTCTGGGTGTGGAGGCACACCCCTGTAATCCTAGTGCTGGGGAGGCTGAAAACAGGTGGATCACTACAAGTCTGAGCTGCATAGTGAGATCCTGTACAAAAA